CGGGAGGGGGTCCTCGTGTTCTTGGGGGGGGCGGCAGGGGGGGTGAGGGGGCCCCAATGTCCCCGGTGGGAGTTGGGGGGTGAAGGTGGGGGGGTCACGGATGGTTGGGGGTGCGTGGGGGACACTCCCGGGCCTCCTGGGCCCCCTTTTTGGGGTGGGGGTGTCACACTCCTGGACATCGGGGTCCCTCGGGGGTGTTTTGGGGGGGGGTCTCAACCTCGGCTGTGGGGTCCCTCGGGGGGCTGGGGTCACGAGCTTGGTTCTGGTGTCCCTTGGGAGGCTTGGGGGGGTCACAACCTGGTTTAGGGGTTCTTGGGGGTTTTTCGGGGTCACAGCCAAGATTTCGGGTTCTGTGGTGGGTTTGTGGGGTCTTCCCTGCTGTTTTGGGGTCCGTGGCGGGTTTGTGGGGTCTCCCCCCCTGTTTTGGGGTCCCTGACGTGTCCCCGTGTCTCCCCGCAGCCGGAAGCCAGCGCGCCCCGTCGTTCTGAACTAAGTCTGTGACGCGACTTGCCCCCAGTATGGCATATTGTCATTGTCACCCCGGCCCGGAGCCGCCGTCCCCCCCGGCCCCCGCCGGGCCCCCCCCCCGCGCCGCCCCCCCCCCCGGGGCCTTTCGTGCTAATTTAACTCGTAACGAGTCTCTAAGGTAATTGGGGGGGGGCTGGTGGCCCCCCCCTCCCCAAAACCCGGACGCCTGGGGCCCGTCCCTCGTGTCCCCCGTCCCTGCCCCCCACTCTGGGACCCGTCCCCAAATTTTGGGTCAGTGGGTGGCTTGGACCCACCTGTAGGAGCCTGTGGCCCCCCCTTCCCCCCCCTCCCGCCCCGAGTGTCCCCGTCCCTCGTCACCCACCTTGTCCCTGTCACCCGCCCTGTCCTCGTCCCCCACCTCGGGGTCTGCGTTTTTGGCAGAGTCCCCCCCAAAAAGTCTGTACCCCCCCCATGGGTGTTGTGCCCCATGTCCCCAACCCAAGGGACCGAGGCACGATGTGGCTTGATGTCCCCAATGTCCCCAGTGACCCCAATGACCCCAATGACCCCAATGACCCCGGGCCGAGTGATGTCCCGATGTCCCCAACGTCCCCAACTCACGGGGCTGAGGCACAATGTGGCTCGATGTCCCCAGTGTCCCCAACCCAGGGAGTGGGGACAGGCCATGACCTGATGTCCCCAGTGTCCCCAGTCTGGGGGACGTGGGCACCGGTTACCCCAAAGCCATTGGGCTGGGACAGGTCATGGCCTGATGTCCCCAATGTCCCCAATGTCCCCAAAACCCCTCAAGGGACCGTGAGACATCACGGCCTGATGTCCCCAGTGTCCCCAACGTCCCCAACCTGAGGGACTGAGACACATCCTGGCTCAGTGTCCCCAATGTCCCCGACACCCCCAGTGCCCCCGACACCCCCAGTGTCCCCAACCCCCTCGGTGTCCCCGATGTCCCCCACGTCCCCCCGCCAAGACATCGAGATCCGTCGTGGCACGACATCACCGAGCCCGAGGGACGGAGACTCGTCACCGCTCGACGTCCCCGAGGTCCCCGAGGGACACGGGCACCTCGTCACCACTCGATGTCCCCGAGGTCCCCGAGGGACACGGGCACCTCGTCACCGCCCGATGTCCCCAGCGTGTCCCCGAAGGACGAGGACACCGTGTGAATGGACTGAGACCTGTCCCGGCCCGACGTCCCCAACGCCCCCGAGGGACAGAGACAACCTGAGACTGATGTCCCCAATGTCCCCAAGGGACGAGGGACCCGCTCATCACCCCGGACTGAGAGACTGAGACACGGCGTGGGCTGATGGCCCCGATGCCCCTGAGGATGTCCCTGATGTCCCCAACCCAGCGGACTGAGACCCGTCGTGGCCCAACGTCCCCGATGTCACCCATGTCCCCGAAGGATATGGGACACTGTCATCACCCCAGGTCAAAGGACTGAGACCCACCACGGCCTGATGTCCCCGATGTCACCGATGTCCCCGATGTCCCCAAAGGATGTGGGACCGGTCCAAGGACTGAGCCCCACCCCCCCAGCCCCGATGTCCCCCACGCCCCCGATGTCCCCGATGTCTCAATGTCGCTGATGTCCCCGAAGGATGCGGGACATCGTCACCACCTGGACTCAAGGGACTGAGAGCCACCGCGGCCCGATGTCCCCCAGCGCCCCCGATGTCACCGACGTCCCCAAAGGATGTGGGACATCATCACCACCTGGACTCGAGGCACTGAGCCCCACCACGGCCCGGTGTCCCCAGCGTCCCCACCAAGAGGGACTGGCCCCCCCTTGTCCCCAAGGTCCCCCGTGTCCCCACCCGAGGGACAGACACGTGGCGGCCCGACAGCCCCCGTGTCCCCGATGTCCCCTGGAGGCCCCGTGGCCCCGACGCCCCCCGGCAATAAAGTGGCCTCTGTGGTCCCTGTACCCGTGGCCCCTTCTTTCCAGGGAATTTGGGGGGATAGAGGGGTTTGGGGGGGACCCAGGAGTTCAGGGGGTGACCAGGGGGGTTTGGGGGGACACGGGAATCTGGGGGGACAGAGGGATTTGGGGGGGGGATCCAGGGACTTGGAGGGTCCCCAAGAGTTTGGGAGGGACCCAGGGGCTTGGGAGGGACCCAAAAATCTGGGGGGGACCCAGGGGTTTGGAGGGATTGAAAGGTTTGGGGGGACCCAGGAGTTTGGGAAGGGCACCCAGGAACTGGGGGGGACCAAGAGGTTTGAGGAGTACCCAGGAATTTGGGAGTAATCAAGAATTTGGGGTATCCCAGGGGTATGGGGGGTCCCGGAGGTTTAGGGGGACCCAGGAATTTGGGGGGAGATCCAGAATTTGGGGAGTCCTGGGGGCTCTGAGAGGGCGGGTGTCTCAGGAGTCCGAGGGGAACCAGGAATTTCGGGG